CTTGCAGTTCAGGCAAATCCATTTTCAAAGACAGACTTTTAAAGCTGTAAAAGGATCCCAACACAGGAGCTAATACTGAAGAGCTACTCTGCAGTAGATATTCCATGCTTTTCCTCATATACAACTTAACGATTGCAGAGGATGCAAAGCCCAACAGCTGAGCAAGCAAGATTATCAGCTAAAATGAGTACCTGAAGCCTCAAACTAATATTCTCACAGAACTGGATTCTAGAACAACATTTGAGCCACATCTCTCAAATTCCCCCTTTTCCTTTGTTTTTCTGTAGGATCTGACACCCATTTCTCCTTGGAGCACAACAGCTTTGGAGGACCTTCTTTTAGACGTAATTTCAGTCATGATGTGCCTAACAGAATTAGGGCAGACGGGTAAATGCTGAAAATCGATAGCAAATAAGAAAGATCTGTAATTTGCTTTGTTATAGACACTGGTAATTAACAACTGGTGAAAAAGCATGTGCAACTACTCTTTGTAGCACATCAATCTAATAAAGGCATGTTTCTATGAATGCTTGTGCTTTTCCTTTACTTACAGTTTTCATATGAACAGTGACTTAAAAATTTCATTTGTTTTAAGAGTCAAAATCCCACCTTTCTGGCATGTATTTTTGGTAACCAGGTTAAATACTGCAAACAAATCCTGAACTTTAACAGAATACTTTGACCTCCTTTCTATTTGAACAAAGCAAGACTGTTTTGTAATGTAATTGGAACATAAAAAACTATCAAGAAGAATGTGTAACATGCCGCTCTTCTCTTTAGAGAGATCCGAGGCACAGCAAGGATCAAAGGTGTTGGTTTTTTTCTTGTTTGAGTTTCAGTTTCAAAGACCTCATATACTACATGTATATGCCCAGAGAGGTTGTGGATGCCCCCTCCCTGGAGGTGTTCAAGGCCAGGTTGGACGGAGCCTTGAGTAGCCTGATCTAGTTGAGAGGCGTCCCTGTCCATGACAGGGAGGTTGGATTAGATGATCTCTAAGGTCCCTTCCAGCCTATGCCATTCTATGACCTGAATTTCTGCCATACACTGAGATTTTCACATAAAAATATTAGTAAGGTAAATGAAAACATATTTGTCCTTCAGACGTGTGCAACCAATGCTATATACATCTCTGTAGTGTGCCAGTCTCCATATCTCTCTACTTGTGTCTCAGATTTCTTCTTTAATCTGATCTTTTTATTCTCTCCAGAAGCAATCTCCTAACCCGATGAGTGCTTAATGGAGCATCTATTTCATCTTTACCCATCTATTTCTTCTTTCACGCATCCTTGCCTGTACTTTAAATTCTCAGCTAGACTCGGACACTCATTCTGCAAACATTCATGGACTCCGTGAAAGCACCCCTTTCAAGTGCTTTCCCCCTTCAACGATTTCAAGTTACGCTGGCGCGTAAACATTTGCTGAATCATGCCACGTTTTGCTCCAGCCTTCCTTTCCCCTGTTTAGCTCATTTCAGCGCCCAGCAATCTACTAAAGAATACCACTCAGAACATACCTAAAAACCCATTTGCTCTCCTCAAGGCTCAAACACTTATCCTACCAAGTTATGTTCTGATTGTATCGTCTTCAAACTGGCAAAATTTACAACCTCTCTATGCCAAAACCCACATCTTAGCTAGTTTTAGGTGTGAACCTTCAATGAACTGCGAGCAGGTTCAACTTCCCTAAAGCTCTGCAAACCCTTCTAACATCAGAGCTTTTGAAAGCGTGGTTGAGACTGGTTTTACTCTTATTTCACAACGTGTCACGTATGGTAATATCTGAATAATCACTTATCTACTTCGGTAATAGATCAAAGTTGAAGAGATTAATTATTAGACATGTTGATAATTAATTTTAAGATAAATATATTTACTAGGTCTAGAAAAAGATGCCTACGATATTAAGCCGCTAACCAAATTTGATAATATCTTAATTAATGTATTATTAACACATTCTGTTTGGTATTTACTTGCCAAATTACATTTCATTGGCATTACTATGCTTATGAGATTATTCTTTCTTCTGTCTAAAGTTTTTGCATGACTTAGATACTCTTGCATGATGACTGACACATACACTTTTCTAACATTATTTGATACTTGTCCTTTTGAGGTCCACCCACACCTTCCCGTTAAGGCACACCTCAAACATGACTACTCAAACTCTGATAGCAGTTACACTGCCTTGTAACAACGTATGGATACTGTGCACTAACCTGGTTACTGTATGGTATTTTGCTTTAGTCACTACTTTAGCTTAATGTGCTGCTGTAAGATAAAACGAGCAGTGGTAAAAAGTATATTGATATCTGCACTACCTCCTGGACCATTTTAAGTGGAAATCTTTAATTCTGAATACCTTCATTTTCAAAATGCAAAATGCAATATCTCCTCGTAACACTTCACTGTCTGCAATAGTTTCATTCCATGGGGGCAAAATACCTGCTCAAGTTAAGCGGGACTGGCAGTTCACTCAGAACATCTGTCTTCTGTGTTGTAGAAAATTCTCATTTTTGTTTCTTTTCTTGTGATAAACTTTCTAGCGATAAAACACAGACGGTGTATTTTAGTTGCATTCCTTTTTGTTTGCACTGCTAATTTCTATGCCAACTCAATAAAATTCAAGTCTGTGTTTTACACAGTATACCCAGCGAACATAGAAGAAAAACACAATAATGTTACAAAAGCTATTTATTGACTGGATCATTTCAAAACTTTCATTTTACTATGCTTGATTTCAGTGAGACTGTGCCACTAGTAAAACTGCTCATGTGCTTAACTATTTTAAAACGATTCCCCTCCATCACTTCCAAATACCACCACTAGAATAAACTTTGTATATTTATATTAAATGCATATTGGTCTATGGAACAACTTGAGTTTTCAACCAATAAGGTGTAGAATTAACCATATTTGCATAATTTCTCAATGAGTTGGAATTGAACTTGCTAGATTGGGAACTACTGCAGAAAAGCCATGATCAGATCTGATTATTCTGGGAGTCTGTTTATGATTTCTTTTAAACGCTGGAGACATCTCAAAGTTGTCTATGTCAGTGCAGAAACTCCAATTTGATTGCATGCAGGGCCGAATAAATTTCCTGCAATTATTCAGCTTTCATGTTGGAGTGAAATTCTTTCCAAAGCTCTTATAAGGCTTTGGTTAACATGAACAGCTCTCACCAAAGGGTAGGAGTTTAAGGACGATGGAAAATCTAAACCTCCTTCTAAAATCATCACTGACCTGAGATGAAGACAAAGAAATTCACCAGAGAACTAGTGAAAGCAAGCATGCATTACCTGTTCTCACTTTCCCCTCTGCCCTCACAATGGCCAAAGATCAGAGACTGGCCAGGGCTGTCTCCCTTTACTTGCTTGCTGATCTAACCATCTCCTGAGGTACAGCCCCTTATTCCTGCTTCCCCTCAGCAACGCCATGTTATCAGTGAAAAGAAAGGGAGCTGGAAAGAGCCAAGGAGTTCAGAGCTGAGATGTTCTTCCTTCTGGTGGGATGGACAGGATGAAGAAGCATATATGGAACAAAGAAAGAGCTGACAAATCTAAAAATGTGACTGAAAAACAGCATTAAAAACACTTAAATTCTAGCAAAGAGAGGGTTTGATGCATTCAAAGGACAGACACTAGTATATAAAACCACAACTTCTACAAAGCTTTCCACGTGGAAAAGGCAGACTGTGGTTGGTTTTATGAACTCTTCTCCTAACGGCAGTCTCAGCTCTTTTGCAGAATGGTCTGTGAACACACCAGACTACCACACCAGACAGAAGGAACAGGCATTTGCAGGAGAGAGGGCATTTGCAGTCCTTCTGAGTAATTTCTCACAAACCAAGGCCAAGGAAAGTTTATCTGGAGCACACAAGAAAAGGTGGACTGGAAGCCACAAACTGCGGAGGTCTGTCCCACTGCTGCTGTGTTGATTCCTGAAAAACCTTTAGAAATAATGAGAAAACTGAGGACATGATAGTGCATCTTTTTCACAGGGGCAGGGGGGGAGGCAGGAGAGCACAAGGCCGGGCAGTTCAATTTGCATAGTTTGTGTAGGCAAATAAATACTTTTCCTTAACTCGTGCCAAATCTGCACACTTACTTGCTTTCCGTGTTCAACCTCTGAGTGGAAGTTTCTAAAGTAGGAAAGGCCCAAAGAAATCAGTTCTTAAGATTAGTGACCTCATGGCACATTCCACTTCTACTAACAGCAAAAGAAATGACGAAGAGGAGTGAGAGAGATCGAGAGAAGCATAAAATCAGAGAACTGGTATGACGGCGGACTAGGAAGGAAACATAGTGGCCTGGAGAGCACTTGCGTGAAAGTCACTCTTACAACGAGCCTCATGAAATGACTTTGTCGTCGTGAAATCAAAGTTAAATTTCTGGAGGAATGTTAGTGGTTAAAGGGAATCCTATGACTCCCTCGTCACTGAAGTGCTTCCGCAATCCGCTTTAATCCCACCACCGCAAATGAGTTTTATTCTGCAGCACACTTTCCTGACCATCTGCAGCACAGCCTCTCCAGAGGCCTCCACAGCTCTTCCACCCGCTCCTGACATGGAGTGGCCTGTGAGC